AGATAGAAAGTTATTATTGAACGCAATTAGTGAAGCCGTTGAACGTCGCAAAGAAGCTCCAGATAATGTATTCCTAGTAATTTCCAGACTCTTCCTGAAATGCTAATGTTCATTTTTAAATTTTTTCAATGCACTATTGGGCATTTCAAGTCAGATTAGTGGATCATGTTTAACCTACTATCAATATATTTTTACGAGCAATAAAAAAGAGAAGTTACCCTTAATGTTGATAGAAAACGCAACTCTTTGGGAACGAACTCATTGGGAACTCCGTCCTAATTTGATTTCAAAACAATAACGGAATAAGGACTGAAAAGAGCGCAGTCCTTTGGAGAGGTAAGATTAAAAAGCCAGTAAGTCATATCGAGAAAATGCAAAGTAAGAGTGAGCAAGAGGGAGGGAGAGATAGAGCGTGTTTCAGTGAGAATAGAGTGGAGTACGTTGTAGTTGTAGCAGTTCTGGCAGATTTTGGAGTTCTGGCAGTTGAAGCAGTTGTAGAAGTTCAGGCAGTTGATGCAGTTCTGGCAACTGAAGCAATTGTTGCATTTCTGGCAGAAGAAGCAGTTTCTGCAGTTCTCGTAGCTGTAACAGTTGTCGCTGTTGCCTTATTTGTAGTTCTCGCAGGTCTGGCCGTTCTGGAAATTGTGTCTGTTCTTCTTTTTGCTTTTTTTGCAGTGTTAGTAATTCTCGAAGTTGTAGCAGCTCTCGTAGTTGTTGCAGTTGTCGTAGCTGTAGTAGTTCTTGAAGTTGTTGCAGGTCTGGTAGCTGTTGCAGTTCCGGGAGTTCTGACAGCTGTAACAGTTGTGGTAGTTCAACTGATAAAGGGATAATGCGTAATGTCGGCTCAGAATCCAAGACAAAGAGAAGTATCCCCAATTGCTCCGGGTCTTCCTTTCCTTGAGGCAAAAATGTCCCTAAAAAACGAAAATTGTAGAATGTACTGTGATATGTTTTCGAGCTTTCTTTTAAATATTAATATTGTGTCCTTTGCAATGTAATAGAGAGAAAGTAATGGTATATGAGTTATTGGTAGTTTCACGGATATTTAGCTTTCAGGTTGTCCTGGGCCAATAGAGAGCATAGAAGTAAGTTGACTTACTGAAGTCTTTATACGTTCCATAGTCAGCATTTTTGCCCTGAAGCTACCCATGAATCAAAATGTTTCATTAACATGTACACATATCACTTCAATATTGTCCAATACACCCTGTTCATAATATTTATCGACCTTCTGGACTGTTGCTGAGAGAGTGAAGAAACGTTCCGCGGTTCAATTTGGTTAGGTAAAACTGGGTTGCATTAATGATCATGGCACAGGAATTCTGTCCATAAAATTGTTTTAAAAATCATTATCCAGATAAAGTGATGTAATCTACTGTAATACTCACAAGAATTACGTTCCCCAATGACGACAATTGGCCTCTGCAGAAGATCTGCTGCTGACTGGATTAATGGAAAAGGGCAACTGGAATCCTCTTTCCCCAACTTCTTCTGCATAGAATGACAACTTTTTGGCTTGAATGCTGGATAATTTAAATAATATTATTCCTCCTACCAATCGGAATGAAATGAAAATCATTCACGAAAACATTATTTTCCTGATGATGAAATAGGTAGCGTACCACTGAACACAATGTAAAGTGGCTAAACCAATTGGAAGAATCCACCGTCACTGAAAACTATAGTTTCCAAAAACAGGATATTGCTGCTGTCAATAGGAGGAAATACACAGACTTTCTATTTCTTTTGTTCTTTGACATATTCTTGAAACCCAGAATACATTGAAGATTCTCTTTTGCATAATTGCATCAGTCTATCCAATCATAATTTATGCATCGGACACAAAAGAAGTACCTTGTAATGTGGATATTATTTAGATACAGTGTTTCCCATGCTTCCAGTGCAACTGTGGAAATGATATTCATGTCAGAATGTTGTACATTTTTTGTCCATTCCTCTTCCGGCTGTGCGACGTTACTGTTAAGTTGTGGTTACCAAAGTGAGACATTACAGTAAACCTTCGATATAGTGCCAACCAATATCTCGTTTAGCGCCAACTCTTTCCTGAGAACGAATTTTCCCCATAGACTTATCATTGGCGCTCCCCCGTTATAGCGCCACCCTCGCAAGCCACCATCCACCAATATCTTGGCTTGCACAAACGTGTCTAAGTCGTACTCAATATAGCTCCAAGCAGCATACCGTACTCGCGAAATACCATGCACGATCGTGATGGAAAAAAATGACATGCTGTCAGCCTTTCCTTTTAATCGTTTGATAACGGGATTACGAGGGATGACAGCTATGGCAGGACGCCAGGGATTAGAGGGGGGGATAAGGGGTCTCTTAAGGCCGCCCCACACGAGGCAATTTTTTTTGATCGACCGTCACAGACAGTCATGTGCCCCGAGAGAGCACACGTGGAAAAATCTGCAAGAAATGCGATTGGTCGATGCTAGAATTAGGGCCGGCCCACATTGCAGCAACATCGCAGCACCCCCGCACACGGAGCAATATCGTGTGGCGCGATGGCCGCACGACAAAAATCGCCTCGTGTGGCAAGCTTTAATCTGACCTAATCCCGCCTATCCTTATCTTTCTTTTGGAGGATGGAAACGCCTCTTTCTGTTGAAATTTTCTCCAGGCGATTGTTCAAGTGTGTTCATTATCCCGTAATTGAGAAAAGCACAGTTATAAGAGTGTGGGAAAAAGTAGAAGTGTGTCGTTACATGAATGCGCGTGCTACCGAAAGTCAGCAAAACATTACGAATCATGTTTAAAAGCTGTGTAGTTTGTGTTCTCTATTGGCAGCATGGCTGAATTAAAGTGTATTTTGTTTGCAAATTCTATATCACATTTGAGTTATTTCAGAAAATTTCCCTTTAAAAGCCGCGGCTTTCGATATAGCCTACCCTCGTTGTAGCGCCGAAATCGGCGAAGATCAACCATGGCGGTATATCGAGAGTTGACTTACATGTCCATGTTCCCTTAAAATACCCCAAGATAAGTGAAGGGTATTTCAAGGTATATAACGGTATTGCAAGAGAACATTTCTTGCAAGTATAAACTGATCTCAGAATTTTTAAATTTTTTTTCATACGATAATCATGTGACTTTCTGTATCACGAGCACTTAGTGACATTCTGGAATGCTTTGCCAATAGCGTCCGTCTTATAGCCTTAAAGCTTCAGGGAAAAACCACCAGCGGGTCTACATGTAAAGGGAAAAATCGGGGGTAACGCCGCAATTCAGAGAAAGTAAATCTCATGAGGACTTTTTCCAATGGGGGCAGAGGCGGTTAGTATTGAATGTCATCTTCATTCCTAAAGTGTCTCTTAAATTTTTTTTCTTCATACAATACATATGTCACAGCAGTATGACGTCACTTGCTCAGGCGAAAAAAAGAAAGATGACGCCCAAAAGGTTCCCCAACGGTGCACAAAGTTTACTGTACACCATATTTAGATTATTTCCTGAATTAACCACCCAGATTCATGATTAAATTTCAAGATTCAGTAGGTTAGAACTGGATGATTCATCAGGGAAGAAAATAATACTTGCGAAATTAGCGAAAGACGAATGTGCTGAGACACTTCTGGTGTGCGCAAGACAAGGAGGCTCTCAGCGAACAGTTGCGAATGATTTTCAAATTAAACATCCAGAAAACTGCGAATAAACATTTTACACCATATCTAATATATATAGACGCTCGTGACTGACAGACTGACGCTCTAACCTTTCTAACAATGTTCCAGAAAAGATAGAAATCTGACATTTGGCACACATGTACATTTTGTACATGTGAATCCAGAAAAAATCTGATTTTATGGGGAGATGTTTTCAATGATATAAAATTTGCTTCAGTCAAACGGAGTGACATAGAAAGCTGAAACTTGGCATGGACGTGCCTACGACAAAAATTTCAGGAAAAATGTCAAATTTCAGGTGCATTCCCTGGGGGCATACTTTTGGGGGATGACGTTCACAAAAAATTTTTTTGTCCTAGCGAATTGCCCAGAGATAGAAAGGTGGAACTTGATACATACGAGGGATGTTTCACTTCCGCCGGGACTTGGCTATAAAATGATTCCAAAGAATTTTTCAAACATTTTTCTCTTATTCTTCAACTCTTTTCACACTTTCTCAACATAGTCACCGCCAATTGCAACAGAGGGGAAAAATTATGAAAAAAATGTGGAAACACCCTGAAGAATCACTCTATCGAGGCAGCATGGTCTGTACTTGCTGAAAGCACACAAATGATTGAAGTCCCGGCGGAAGTGAAACATCCCTCGTAAGTACTTTTTGAGAATGTGAATTCAGAGAAATTCAGACTTTGGAGGTAAATGCCCTGGTGGCCCAAATTTCAGGGAGAGATATTTTCAAATATTTTGTTTGAGTCAAACGGATGAACATGGAAAGGTGAAACGTGACATGGACGTACTTACTGAGACTCTGAGTTCAGGGAGAATGTAAAGTTTTGGATGTATGCCCTGGGGGCACTTTTTTTGAAAAAGTGCCCCCATGGCATGCATCCAACGTTTTTGAAACTTTTCTGATTCAATGAAGGAGAGAACTTAAGAAAGTTGAAACTTTGAGCAGAAGTACATGTTCGATTGCTAAGTACGAGTCCTACTTTTCAAATATGCCCCATCAGGGAAGATTATGAAGAGACTTGAAGTTTGGCACGCAGGAAACAATGTAATTATTCCCATGGAAGTATCGGTTTGTTCTCTTTCGATATACATTCTGATAGGCACACACTTGTAATAAGCTTTTGCCTCTTCGAAAATAAATAATTGAATAATCAGTATCTTTGTAATGAAGCGCCGAAGGCGCGACAATAGCATGAATAGTACATAATGAATAGTACAATATATGCAGACTGATCCAAGAAAGTAAGAAATCCCCCAACTACTGAGCAAAGCAACAAACGCGTTTTCTGTAAGTTTAATGCAAATACTGCTTGAATGACTGCTTGAAAAACTGCGGTTCTTGGATCAACCGAAAGTCGTGCAGCATTCCGCTTTCCCATTCAGGAAATCCACCATGAAGGGGAATGAGGAGACCTGAAGGAGAGAAAGGTGAAGAAGGGATCCTGTGAGGGATAAGGACAGGGACTCCAGCACTCCAGACCCACTCCCCATCCTCCCCACTTCCAGCGGTATTGGTGGGTAGTCTTCATCCATCCATTCCACCTTCTTCTGCTTGAGGATCGCAAGGATTCTGTTTCCAATCCCCTCGTCAACCCGAGAGGCCTCCCCTTCCTCTCCTGAGAAAGAGAAGACGAATGGTTGCAAACGGAGAAGAAAAAAGAGAATCACTTAAGTATGGTCGTGAGACATTGGGAAGAAATAGCGCAGCAACATTGAATGGAGAAGATACGAAACCCAACTTAGCAACTAAAAACTTTCATTAGCACTGGAGCTGTTTATTAATCAAAATTTTGCGCCTGTCTTAATGTCCCGCACTGAAATGTCTTCACAGAGAAAAAAATGCAATTTCAACCTCGTTTCTACATTCTACTGCCAAACATGTCCTGGACAACCCTCCACTCTGCGTTGTACCTTGTTTTGAGAGGTCCCACACAATTAAAGGCAACAAAACAAACTGCAATTGCGTGACTAAATGTGAGAACACACGGAAATGTACTGGAATAATTGTTTCTAATGAAATAAATATGTTTCTCAAAATATTGCATTATTCGTTTGCATCGGAGTGCACTACCATAATTTAGCCAAACATTTTCAGGTACTTTTTTAAAGTGGGCAGCGAAAGAGTTAAATCGTTTGAAGCGAGAAATATAAGAGGATTTTGTCAATCAGTCTGTTAGTCGAAACAAGAGGGTTAACCCTCTGCGACTGACGAAAACTCGCAGTATCGCGACAAAAAAAAACCAGCGCAGCGGTGGCGGCCGGTCGCTAAAAACTCCACAGCGGTAGGGTTAAGATTGGTTTGGGTGCGGTCCGTCATTTAAAATTGAAGGTAACTTGCATATTCACAAAATTATGAACTGTAAAATAGCTATGAATACATTTAGTATGTGGTTCATATACAGATCAAGTCTCCATTCCTGCGGTATTTGGTAACAGAGAAGAAACATTTGTAAGAGACTTTCGATTGAGCATCAAACATATTTTCAAGAGAATAATTATTACTAATAACTATTTCCCCATATACTTCGCAAGAATAGCACTAGCCGAGGCTAGTTACTTGGTCAGAAGTTTGAACAACTGCTTGCAATCAAATAGTCAGGTTGGAAGAGGTGAATAAACTTGATTGATTGCTTTATGGGGAAGGATAAAGTTCTAATGCTATGAGCTCATGGTGAACATTCAAACTGCACCGGACTCATTGATCCAAGAGTGTCGATGCAAATAGCCATTCCGCACCGCTGAAAAATCAAGTAGGAGTCTGCCATTCCAAGCGAAAAGTCCTAGATTATTGATATTTTGGAGAAAAAATTAAGCTCTAACATGATTCTATTTCAATACTTCACGAAAATAATGATAAAAGCTAAAATATGGAGAACACTTTCCAGAGCGGCATTTCAATCACTCTGTACCGACAAGAAATACATTAACATCTATTCGTGTACCAAGTTACATTTTTCTGAAAAATACATATTATAGCGCGAATAAGAGCCAGTGGGTGGCGCAAAAAGGACGTCCTGTAATACACCTCATGCAACAGAGAGTTGGTATTCTAATATCTTAATTCTTTTCTATGAGGTTCAAAACTGTATACTGTACTAGTGAGTTTGTTTGCCCTTCGGACAAGCAAATTCCCCATGGTCGCGCCTTCGTCACTCCATTCCCTTGTATATTGATTAATTCATTTATTCTTTGGGAAATGGCAAACACGTATTTAAAGTGCGTCCCCATTGAAATACATGACATATGGTGGCTAACGTCTTCCTTTTTATCAAAATCATTACTTCCATTATTTCTAGTTTGCCTAACTTGAAATCCTTTCTTGTGTCCCTTTTTGTAAGGGTGGAGAATACATTTTGAAATACTTCCCTCATATAACCTACGCTAATGGGACATACTTAAAAAGTAGGATTATTCCTGTACACAGCCATCAAATAGGTACTTTTAAGGGAAGTTTAAATTTTCTGTGTCTGTTTCGTTGGATCAAACAAAAAAGAAATTCAGGAAAATGGGACTTTAAAAAAAGTGCCCTGATGGGATTTCACGAAATTTTTATTATTATTCTGAAATGTAGACTCAGGGAACTCCATGCCACTCAGTTTCGACCTCATACGTTTCCCCTTTTTACTGGCGGTAAAAAATGTATTTGGAAAAGCGACCCACCCAAAAGATGCGCTCTATGGAGACGCACAACAAAATTTGAATATTTCATCAAATCAACGACACGTCCGTTATGCGCGCGCCAGCTGCTACTTTTCTATTTCTGCCCGATTCGCTGGATATGAAAAATTCTCTGAAAACGTAATGTCCCAAAAATCCAATATTTTGGAAATTTGACATTTTTCCTGAGCTCAGTGCTTCAGAAGTCACATTCTTGCCACGTTTCAGTTTTTTGTGTCTCCGTTTGATTGAATCAAAGAGAACTATTTGAAAATGTATTCCCCAAAAAGGTGTGCCCCTATGGCATGTATCACCAAAGTAGAATTTTTCCTCAACTAATCATGCGACTTATGTAAGTCAGCTACTCACGATCGTTTATATATAATAAAAGTATAAATTTTTATTTACTCAGCTATGCATCAGGTTCTTCTTCATGCCAAGTTTAAAATCTCTAGCGCCCTCTGTTTTGCTGGATGAGAAATTCGAGAAAATACGCCCTTTGCAATATATGTGCCTTGAAGCGTTTAACCGAAAAGTACCATTTTTATAAACCGAAATTCATCCTCAGTGAACTACATGCCCACAAAGTTTCAATATTATACTTTTGCCCTTTTCGCTGGTGAAAAAAACATGTTTGGAAAAGCCGACGCACCCAAAAGCTATGCCCGGAGTGGATGCCCCTTGAAAGCTGAATACTCCCTCAACTCAATAACACCATGTCACTTATACGTGTGCCAAGTTTAACCTTTCCATTACCATATTCCCACATTATTCTTTAACTCCTTGCCTCAGTAGACACATTCATGCAAAGTTTCAGCTTTCCATGTTCATCAGTTTAACTGATGCAAAAAAATTATATGAAAACATTTCCCTTTGAAATTTGTGCCCACGGGGCATTTACTTCCAAAGTCGGACTTTTTCTGCATGCAGCATCACAATAGGTAGTTATGTACCAAGTTGCTTCTTTCCATACCAGCTGAAGACGTCCTAAAAAATATGCCCCCACAGGTCATGGATCTAAAAGTTTACGTTTTTCCTGAACTCATCGTCTCAGCAGGCATGTCCATGCCAGGTTTCAGCTATCCATGTTTCTCCGTTTTACTGAAGTAAAAATGAAGGAATAGAGCTGGGGAATGAGTAACCCGACTTGAAAGGCATCCGAGGCCCTAAGAAAGCCAAGGAATGGCCGGGAATTGAACCCGGGCCTGTCGGTCAAGTGTGCTTCCACTATACCACCGAACCCGAAACATCCAGCCAAGCCTTTCGATGCCATCATAATGTGTCACAATATATATCTTTAAAAACTTCTCCCCATGCATGTATCCAGTTGAGGGTTCCCTGATGACGTGAAGCATCCCTTATTATTCGCCCAAAGTGTGGCACTTCGAAATCCGAACGTTATCCCTTTAATATTTTTGTCCTCTTCCTGCTAATTACAAATTAGGCCCGAGTTATTAATGTTTGTTGATTCGTTGTCACCAGCGAAGCGAATCCCGCGGGACGCTGGTGTGGTCTAACTTTTTATATCTAGGAGAGGGGATCGAGACGGGAAGCCGAGGTTTCCTCTCCTATGTCGACAAATGAGGCCTTCCACATGTCGCTATGAAAGCAAAGTTTATTTTTATAATCCCCTTTTTCTTGCCTTATACAGTATAACACATTTATATTGATATCAATGGATGTCCTTTGGCTCTACTGTAATCTGACAAACAAGGGATTATTGAATACTTATAGATGGACTGGGAGTTCCGGTGTTTGTAAGGAATTAGAATTAAAGCAAGTGTAGGGATATTTATTTTCCAGTTGACGGAATGAGACGATTCGACGATAAATAAAACCTGGAATAGGTAAAAGTGTAGGCCGGTTGGGGGAAAGAAATGTATATACTTACCGATAAATATTTCATGAAGGTCTGAAAAGTAATCTGACTTTGTTGGGCATGAAGTATTCAGGAAAAATGCATAATAACCAATGACGCTGGTACGTCATGACTGTAGTGCTAAGAGCTATTATACACTAAGGAACTTTCACCAATCCTCTTGCTCACTTCCTTATCGTATTGAGAAAAGAAACTCAGGTCTTGTGAAGAACACGATCCTCTACTTACCGGACCAAATGTATCCCCAGTCTGTAAAAGGGGATGAGATGTCTGGGGAAAGGTTCTCACAAACGGCAATCCATGTCCCTTGGCGAAGTGACAATATGGCGCCGGAGGTCTCATCCATGAATCCCACTCTCCCTATCGCCTCCTCCCCCATACGAGCTCCTGCCTCATTCCAGGTTGGCCACTGTAACAAAAGGAATACAATGAACTCTGGTCGTGCCTTCGGAGCTCCATTGTCCAGGATATTGATTCATCCATAAACTAATTTTCGAAGTGGGAAGAACAAATTATAGGTATGTGCCTGTCGAAATGTGCGCCGTGAGAGGACAAACCAATATTTTCATCGAAATGATTACTCCAATTACTTAGTGTGCCTAGCTTTAAATCTCTATAAGCTGCCCCGATGGAACATATTTGAAAAGAGTAGGACCTGCACTCAGCAATCGAACGAAAATAAAAAAATCAATGATAAAAAAACGCCCCTTGGGCATGCATCTGGAACTTGACGTTTTCCAGAACTGTGTCTCAGTAGGGACGTCCATATCAAGTTCCAGCCTTCCATGTCTCCGTTTCACTGAAGCAAATGTATATATTTGAAATCATCTTCCCCAAATTGGGTCCCTCCAGGGTATATATTGAACCTCCAAAGTCTGAATTTTTCTGAACCCAGCATCCCCATGGCTACACGTGTACCAAGTTTCAGGTTTCTAACGTCCCTAAAACATGGTTAGCATTAGCGTCTGTCAGTCGCTCAATCGCTCAGTCACGATCGTCAATATGTATATACTAGCGAATTTGTTTGCCCTTCCGGTAAACAAACTCGCTATGAACGCACCTTCGGCGCGGTTCGCTTCATAATGAATTAATAATAACACATTTAAATTTTTATCGCGAGTACGCTACTCCTGCTCATGTGAAGTGATTTTCAATCTGATGTTAGGAATTTGCGTCAAGCAGAGATTCGTCACTGCCCATAGCGAGTTTTGATCGCTTTGGTCGCGCCTTTGGCGCTCTATTGTCCAGGTTAGTAATTCATTCATTAATTTCCTTTCAAAATTGTAAAAACGTTTAAAAAGTATGTGCCTGTCGAAATGCGTACGGAGAGAAAAAAAACCCTGATATTTCCTGTCAAAACCTGTCCTTTTCTTTGTGACCATATATTGACAAAAAATGCAAGAATGAAGAATGAAATCTGACTACACGGAAACTCAACGGAGACTTTCTCTCTCGTGATTTGAAGTTTTTTCCCCAGATATTTCAAGAGAAAGCATATAAACCAGCAGCGAAAAAAATTTGCCAAGCAGAAAAATCGTTTTTCCACGTGCATTTCCTTGCGTCACCTGGTGGAGTCACGAGCCGGCTGTCGACCTCGCCGGGGCGCCCTTCAGTTACCTCACATTCCAATGACATTTCCCCTTGCCCCCTTTTTTCTCGTTAGACCATTCCCCCCTCCCCTCATGAAATGCTCAATCTTCCTATTCTTCTTTCTTCTTTCCATTTTTCATTCTTTTGATCAGCCAGCAATGAGAGTGCTAGCTTCGCCCTTCGTCCTTGAGCAACTTCTTGGCCGATGGCGTGATCGGCAGCTGCTCACTCGTAGTCACCAATGCTTGTCTCCGTTTCTTTGTCTTTTTTCTTTTTTAATGTGACTTTATTTATATTCTTGACTTGATAAATTCATTACAACTTTGTTTTTTTTTTGCCCATCCAGAATGGTTTGAACGTTTCCATGAAATTTTCACCATATGCCAATTCGGTTAGTTCCAGAAAGCAGAAATATTGCAGGAAGTACATCTTGGGACGACCGCTTTAGAAAACGGAGGATCTCTCTTTGGGAATGGCGCCAAACAGCAGGAAGTAACTTCATAGTAAAATGAAATATCCATGTAACCTAAAGAGTAAAATTTCCCTGGGAAATAAAAAGTGGTGGCTTAAATTAATTCATAATTTCCTTTGATCGTCGAGCGCCGAAGGGACAGACAAACTCCATATGTCATAGCATAGCAAATTCGAAGCAATGGTGCATACGCAGCGAAGGAGAAAGGGAGCAATAGAGTAAAAGAGCGTGGCTCACCCTTAAGAACTGGCCTTTATCATCACAGCCAAGGAGTATACTTTGGTTGATGTGTTTATTTTCTTCTTCCTCGAAATCACGAAAAAAACTATCATCTGGAGGCTTGATGCGGCCTTCTTGCATCATTGTTTTCCATAGGTCATCATGGGNGACAAACTCCATATGTCATAGCATAGCAAATTCGAAGCAATGGTGCATACGCAGCGAAGGAGAAAGGGAGCAATAGAGTAAAAGAGCGTGGCTCACCCTTAAGAACTGGCCTTTATCATCACAGCCAAGGAGTATACTTTGGTTGATGTGTTTATTTTCTTCTTCCTCGAAATCACGAAAAAAACTATCATCTGGAGGCTTGATGCGGCCTTCTTGCATCATTGTTTTCCATAGGTCATCATGGGATGGAAAGTTGTCTATCACAATCAGTTGAAATCGGCTTCTTGATATAGCTTCCAAAAGCCAGTCGTCAGTGGTGTTAATGGATATCACGGAAGAACTCTCGAAGCCACGAAAATTCTTCGGGTGACAGAATTGAATTTCCGGGAAATGCTCTTTCAAGGACAGCAACTGTTGTTCGTCTGAGACCAATACATGGGGTTTTTGTAGAGGTTAACAGAACCTATCCCGCATGAACTCCTTCTTACTGTCTTGTCCATAAACCAAAGGTTATGGTTCAGGTGGACTACGAAAAGGAGACGTATGCATAGGCCTTACAGAAGGGCTCGTTCTATACTTCATGTACATGACATCGCCTTCAACGGAGGCCCTTGATTTGGAGGAGGTGTACAAGCTCTTCGCTGACAAGTTTAAGGCTGTGGATGTCTCATTTCGCTGGATGTGACGGATGAGTTCCACATTAGCAAGAGGAACAGGAAGTCGAATGGCGGTGCAGTCCTGATTCCTTTCTAATATTTTCATGATTTCCTCAGGCGGGATCTCTTGGACATCTTTCGAATGCGGCTCAAAGGAAAGAATGAGCTTAATATTTTCCTGCTTTAGTCTTTGCACAACTGATTCTAACTCCTTTTCATCTGCCATTTCCTTCCATATTGGTGAGTCTTCCACGACCACGACCAATGGACCTTTCCCCTTATTTCTACTCACCTCGGAACTGCCGATAATGTCCTGGAAACACTTCATAAAGGACATGCGTCGCCAAGGTGGGAAGAAATCGACTATTACGTTCGTCTCAGTCCAGCGCTGCCGGCAGACTTCGTAGGAGAGTAAACTCCCGCAATGGAGTAAAACGACGCACTCTCGACGTGCTATCAATCGTTGAATGAAGTGGGCAATTTTCTTGGATTTCCCTGAGGTTGGGGAGCCAAATATTCCAACAAGACGAGATTTCAGCATGTCTTCATCATCTTTCTTATCCTCTTCTTGGGAAACATTCAAATCAAGTTCGATGGGAGGTGGTGAGCATGCATGGAAAAAGGCATTCTTCTGAATTTCGTCGATTGGATTTTCCCCTATCTCTTTCGAGACCCTTTGTAGGTCTCGATGGAGATCTTCGTTAATGTCCACTCTATTGATCTTCCATCCACGTATTTTCTTTATGACGCGAGAAAATTTTCCTAATTCAAGATCTTCTTCCTCAATTATGAGGATCTTGTTATCGCCAGCCGCTGCTATAAGTCGGTTGTAGTTTCTCCATTGTGAGAGGGGGAAATCTATGATGACCATTGCATTCTTCACATGACATCCCATAATTTCGTCCTCTGTGACAATGACCAAAGGCAATGAGTCGTCTCGGTTGAGCTTCCCAACCCATTGCATGGTGTGATTGAAGACCCCATAGAAAAGGAAGGGGATGTAGGGGTAGGAGGATGCGAGTATATTCACTAGGGCGTTTTTTCTCTTCTCTTCATTCACCACGACGAGGAGTGGCATTTTATTCGATGACTTGGAGCATTCATCAATTATAACATGAATAGCGCGCAAGGCCCTCACTGCCTCACAAACCCTATTTTGCTGGCATTTGCGATGAAGGGCCTGACAAGAGGGAATAACAGACAGGCTGGGAAGATGTCCACCTGAGCCCATTGCATCCGTCTTGAAGGAACGTTCGGACGATGGGAATACTCGCCTGGAAAAATCGCCAATGCCTAGGAACAGCTCCGATATCTTTTTACTGTTTCTCCTTACTTGTTGGAGAGTTTTAATAGGGAATCCTCTAGGTTTTACCGCACAGAGGTGGAAGTCCCTGGAATAGTTCTGATCGTTGGGTCTGAAAGAGATTGTGATGGACTCGAAATTTTTCATATCTAGGATCCAGTCCCAGTGTGATGTGAGGTCCAAGGGGTTGATAACATCTTGGAATCCAAGTGTGATGGGAACTTCATCGACAAGGATATGTTTTCCTTTTCCCTCTTTACTCAAGAAGGTCTGGAACTCTTTGAGATTTTCTTCCAGATCATGTTCACTTCCGTTGACTACAGTGATTTGGTTTTCCAAACCTATTTAGACGTATGTTCATGCATCAAGAGCTTCAAATGTCTAGGTTGTATGGTCTAAGAATAAGCTTCAAGTTCATATAATATTTCTGGGATATTGAGGTTGACTTAGCCGTTGAACAGCTTGAATTAGCCGTTGGGGAAGAGTAAATCCCGAAGATTCTCCTCAACCAATTTAGAAACTAGATGATACAGTCAACTCCACACACTTTCAAAAATTGTTTGGCTCAACTCTCGGAATTTAAAAAGAAATATTTTTTGTAAAATTTGGCTAATGTAAGGACACAAACTTCTACGATCACATGGCGACTAGACGCCAATTATTATATTTTCCTATCTGAAACTGTTTTCCTTCTCAAGAAGGAAAAATGATACCAAATTTCCGCAATTAGTACAATGTTTCATTGTCAACATACCTGTTTACATACAAGCCACAATGAAGATGTATTTATTAAATTAGGCGTTGCGATCTTTTTATTGGTCTATTAGTCTAGGCTCATTCACCTTTTATCGGACATATGTAAATAATGGAAATTTGAAGAATAACTTCAGGAAATTATTTAATAAGCACCTGTGGAGAACAAAAAATTGTTAGACTCAGATGAAATGCTACTGCTTAAAGCGATGAATCTTGCTTTTTCCCAAAGCAGGAACATGGTTCGTGGAATCAGAATAACAAAATTCAATGTTTTCATACCATCGACATGCAATTTGGAGGCAAAAAGGTTAAAAATTACAGTGTATAACATGCTTCAGATTATCGAGGGATGGATCTTCCATCCGAAGGTTACAGCAAGGCAGGCAACATACTTGCCAGCTCATCCAACACCGAAACAGAGAGATGTTGGCTTGCGAGGTGGAAGGAACGCTTTCAGCCCTAATAATTTCTCCGCCATGGCTAAAAAGAATTATGCCGAATTCAAAGTTTTTGGAGAAAGAAATTGCCAAACCCAGAGAACCCATATTTCCTGGAATGTTGCTCTCTATGATGGCTTTGTTGATTCACATATATAATGTGATG